CACATCTTACTTATCCTACTTAGAAGGATCTCTCAAAGGATGCCCTGAGCTCCTAAATCAGGGCCTCAGCGCCCCTCTCCTGCAAAATCGGAACAGGTGTCCCGCCCCTTGGTAGTCTCTTCTTTCACAGTGTCACCCAAATCAGGTTTAGCATTTGTAATATTGTGTTTATTTACTCTCCTGTTTCTTAGTCTCCACTTTAAAGTTGAGAGACTTTATATTTTATGTTTATCAGAAGTGTGGGGGTTTTTTTTGTATTATTCTTGTGGCCCTTGATTAGAATTTTTACAATGATCTTTCCATCCTCGATGACTGTTGGATTTTCTGTGACTTTAAGGAAGGAGAAAGAAGTGATCTCCTAACAATGGTTATGAGAATCTTTGTAAACACAAGCAGGGCAGCATTTTTGTTTGAGTCTGAGGCTAAACAGACCCGACTTCCCCATGATTATGGGTCCTTCTCAGATGATATATAAATTGTTGGCTATTTTTAACAGCCTTAAGTAGAGAAGCAGAACATTTGGGAAGCTTCTAAAAGACTCTCAGTACCTTTCAAGATCTGGCTCAAAATTTTCTCCCTTGATAGATGGCTCCTGGGAATAGCTTTTGTTATGCTCAACTGTAGTGGTCACTAGAAGTTAATTTTCTTATCAGTGCCCTGTACTTGTGTGTATTACATCACAGAACAGTGGTTAAACGTGTGGGCTTTTGGGGTAGATGGCTTAGGTTTAAATCCCAATTTTACTGTGAGACTATGGATAAGTTACTTAACCCCTCTGTGCCTTAGTTTCACCACATATAAAATAGGAATACAACTGTCAATTATCATCATAGGATATTTTTAAGGATTAAAGATGCTAATCCTTTTTTGATGTGCGCAGTGCTAAGTATACAAGAAAAGCTTATTATTGCTATTTTTATATGCTATTATTATGGTTAGTTATGTATGTTCTTTGCATTTCCAACTAAATTAGAGAACTGGAAGTCAGGCATTTATATTCATTAATCAAATACAAAACAAATTAATACAAGGCATTTGGGGGAAGTTATTAAAACTTATACATCATGCTCTTTTAATACCTTTGAATAACACATTCAAACGTCAATAAATACTGACAGATTATTGGGTCTTAGATGGAGTCTAATTTTTTTCTTTCATTAAGTCTAGTTCAATGTTGTACAAATAGAAAGTTATCAACAAAGGATAACTCAATCCTTGTAAACTATTTCCATAAGGCACAATTTTGTTTTAAAATAGAACTTAAACATATTATAAATATATAGTTAAATATGATGAATGTAAAAGCAGTATTTACAAAATTTAACTTTTTAAAAAATATGTTTTTATTGATTTTAGAGAGAGGAAGGGGGTGGGGGAGAGAGAGAAAAACATAGATCAGCTGCCTCCTACTGGGGATGGAGCCTGCAACTGGGCATGTGCCCTGACCAGGAATCGAACTGGTGACCGCTTGGTGCATGTGACGATGCTCAGCAAGCTGAGCCACGTGAGTCAGGCCAAAATTTACCTTTTTAACATCATTAAAAAGAAGCCTATGGTACACTCAGGACAAAGTGTCAAGTTTTCTGAACGTGCTTAATGGTATTTGCACTAAGTGTACATTGCAGAACACTCACAGTATGAGTTAATGCATTTGCAAAGGACTTCTGAGTGAGGTTACATACTGCTTACGTTGCAAATGAGAAAAGCAAAGCAGTGAGGAGTTAGGACCTATTGAGTACCAATGGAACTCTTCTTAATGGTTCTCCTTGATTCCTTCTCTCTCTTAATGGAATATCATCCCAGTTAGTACCATCCCAATCAAATAATATGAAAATGCCAAGGCTCAGAATTATAGAATCACTTCATTTGGGGGCTGGAATGAAAAATAAAAGAGAATCGACTCCAACTCTCTTATAGACGAGAAAACTGAGTCCATTAGCATTTATCTCAGTTAAGAATGTCTTCAAAACAACAGCATTCATGCCCTTAAGTGATAAAACTGGAGTGGATAACTTATTTTCATGCTGTTCAATTGACCACAGTTCAAAATACCGCTGTGCTTCCAATACCATGTGCTGGAATGTGGTCCTTTCTATATGTGTTCTTCTAAGGGGCCAGCCGAGTCTCGTGGGGGAATTTTCCTTTGTGGTATAAAAGCCCGGGGCTGGTGGTTTTCCTTTGAGCATTTTTTAAGAGAAAATTACCATGTAACATCTAGGACCAGAAAGAAATCCTTATGGTATATATTTTACAGATATTTTCTTTTAGGAGAGAAAAAAAAAATCTGAAGAGACAAGCCTTTGTAAATATTTCACGCAAAATATTCGACTAGTTAGTAAATGTCAAGTAGTGCTAGGTTAATTCCTGTGTAGGTCCACTGAAATATATCCCTGAACAGCTAATAGTTTCCCAGTTAAACTTAAATACAGTTTTGAAATGTGATTGCTAAATTTTTTATGCATTCAAGCCACGGAAACAAGCTTTTCAATGCATGTAGTATTTAAGGAAGCCCTAACCTACACTGTTAAGGTACTTGCTAGAGAGAATCGTGACTAATCATTTTAATCAAGGACACAGGATTGGTAATAAAACCCCCAAATTGTACCTTAATCACTGTGGAGTTTTAATGGTCCTTTATATATGTGTCCTATCTAAAGCTGTATTTAATATTCAAGTTACTTCCAAACAATATATTCTCAATTATTTTTTACCGCAGCCTCTGATCTTTAATGAAATGTGCTGGACAGGATAACTTGGGGAGCTGGGGCTGTCGGCGGCGGTAGCTACTGTATCAAGTTGAACTGAGCTGAAGCGCCGTGCAGCGTGAGCTGGTAATTTTGCAGGGCCCTTCCAGAAGTCCTCGCGTTGAGGTTGCCAGGGACGTCGGTTTATTAGCATCTAGCTAATTAAGAAATTCAGTATTGAAATAAAAAGGAAAGAGCAGACTAGAAGGGCAGGAGGGCTCCCCCCCCTTCCCCCTGCCCGCCGGGCTCCCGGGGCAGGTCCCTGCCTGCGCGGATTCGGCGTCGGGCAGCTCGGGGAGCCCGGGCGCTCCCGGCGGGGCTGCGGGCACCTGGCTCGGCCCGAGGGCCCTGCAGACGGACTTGGGGCTCGGACGGGGGCCGTGGGCAGAAGGCTCCGGGCGCTCGGAAGGGTTTCCTGTGTGTCAGCAACTTCACT